AAAGAAGCTGATGATCATAATGACAGGAAACTGGAACTGATTTATGGGTTTTTTTTAATAGCAAACACATGAGCCCTTGGTTCCTGGACCCCCATGAATACCAAATATTTGCATGTCCAGGTACCATTATGTGCAATGACTACTAAAGTGTTGTCCTTTATATAAAATGGCAAAATGTGGGTTTTCTCTTTAGAATATGACTGAATTTGTGGATTATACCTGCACTTTTATCATGTTGTAGATTTGCTCCTGATGTGATCTCACTAATAATATGAACTTTTTAAAAAGTGTGTATAAAACAGTAATGTAAAGACACAATCTTTTAAAAACAGTAATGTAAGACACAATCTTACTCAACCTTTGAACAAATCTTACCAGAAAAAAGCAGAACAATGATAGTTTGTTGTTATGTTAGTAACAACTTAAAGGCAGACAACAAGACTTAAAAAGAAATATCCTTTCTTATTAAAAGTTGATTACTTTTCAACTCATTAACATGAGGATGCAAACAAAATCTTTAAGAAAAGGGAGTTAAAAAGCAAGGATGTGAACATCACCTAGGCCAGGCCCAAGAAATTACACAGCTAACTTCCTTCAAACCGGAATCCACTTGCTTAGCCAACCTTGTTGACAGGCTCAGGAAGTACCCGGCTTTCTTCTGATGTTTGGCTTTCTTCTGATGCAAAACAATCGCACACCACCATGAAACCTCTCTCTCTCCTGGTAGTGAAAGCCAATACACATGCCTTTTCTTTCAGGAAAGAAAAAAGACCTACACTTTTACTTCCACCACAAAAAGGCTCACGTGATTTTTGTTCCAGGGGTATAAAATAACAAGGAAGAAAAGCCATTGCATGGGGAGGATAGAGAAGGGATAAAACTGAGTGGGAATCCTCTTTGAGGTCTGGAAAGGGTTCTTCTCTTTTGCTAAGGGCAGCGAGGACACTTGGTTTTCAGCCCAAATACAGACAAGATGACATTGAGGAGTGGAAAGTGGGAGGCACTGCTTTTCAAACAGGAACACTACTGGGGAGGACTTGCTTCAAATTAACTTTTCAGGCTCCAGAAAGAGTGCCGGGGAGAAGGAAAGGCAATGAGATAAAAGCAAAACTGTCACAATTTTCTTTACTATTCTGTCAATCAAAGCCATGTTGTGCCTCCTTAATACAGGATATCCCCCAAAAATGTACACACTTTTTAATATATTAGCTTTGGTGTTTATTCATAGGTTATGTATGCTCATACATATTTAAAAGTTATAATAAGGATTTAAGTCAGAGCTACACATTCAACCTGAAACTACCATTTTAGGTCAAGGTATAAATGGTCACCTATGTACAGCAATACAACATTTCCTGCCTCCTTTATACAGGGTATCCCCCCTCTCCCATAACGTAAATACTCTGTAGCAGCAAATACAGGAGCTATGGCAAATATCCAAAGGTTAAGTAAATACATTAATATTTAAGTGTTATAATCAGGCTTTTGTCAGAATTATCATCTTAAACTACAATTCTAGGTCTGGAGTTCAAACTGTTGCTCCTGAAATTCTCACATTGTAGAAAGCACAAATGCTGTAAACCTCACTTCAAATTCTTCTTAATGGTTTAATATTAATGGGAGCCTTGGATCTAGTTAAGGGAGTATATATAATTGAAGAGGGGGGAACGGCAATATACAGACGCAAACATATATACAGGCAGTCCTCGAGTTACAAACATCTGACTTACAAATGACTCAATTAAGAACAGGGTTAGACAACAGGAAGTGAGAGAAACCTACCCATTGGAAGCTAAATCTGCTCCTGAAAGAGTTATTATCACAGGAAAAAGTGTCTCCACTGAAACCAATCCTTGTTTCCACAATAAGCCAAATGTTTCAAATTCCAATTATCAGAGGGTCAGAAAGTGAGGTGAAATCTTATGAACAGAAGCACAGACAGCAAAATAAACACCATAGGAGTGTTAACTCTTTCCTATACTATCTAAAGCTTGAGAGAGAGAGAGAGAGAGAGAGAGAGAGAGCTTCCACATAGCTGAATAAAAGCCAACATTTTCTGCCTTGAACTGGAATATATGGCAGATAATCCAATTCAAAGCAGATATTGTGGGATTTTCTGCCTTGGTATTCTGGGTTATATGGCTTGGTAGAAAGACCCAGAGAGAGAGAGAGAGAGAGAGAGAGAGCTGGAGATGCACTTAAGAAATGTACCTGTTCCGGCTTGCATACAAATTCAGCTGAAGAACAAACCTACAGATCTGATCTTGTTTGAAGCCTGGGGACTGCCTGTATTTGTATTCCAGCTGTTGTGGAAAACACAAAACTTGCAAACCTCACTTTTAAGTTTCCCTTTTCATTTTACCATTACTTGGTTTTCTACTTTAAGTTTTAATCCTGTCAATTGAAGTGTGTGTGCGTGTGTATGTGTGTGTATGGATATAGATATAGCTTCCAGTAAGTAAGTGAAGTGTGGTGAAATGACAAGACAAACCCAAAGTGAGATTTACAACTTTTTTTGCCTTCCACAACAGCTAGCAGTTCAAAACAGGAGTGGCTGCAACCCTTTCCAAGTTTACCCTTGTCTTTTCACCATACTTTGCTAATATTGGACGCTTTAATCCTGTATGTATACGTGTATGTGTGTAAATCAATCCTCTTCAGTTTTGTAGAAATCGTTTACTGGAATAAAGCTTCCCAGTAGTAAGCAAAGTGTTAGGCATGTATGTATGTGTGATACGTGTGTGTAAATCAATCCTCTTTGGTTTTGTACACAATGCTGGCAGGAATAAAGCTTCCCAGTAATAACCCAAGTGCAAATGTCAAGAGAAATTGTGGAAGTGAAGTTTCAAACCCTCGCGCGCACACACACACTACACATACATACACACACACACACACACACTGTATTATGAAGCTCCTCCTCTTCGGTTTTGTACACAATTTGAACAGGAGTAAGCTTCCAATAGTAAGCGAGGTGTGGCAAAATGGCAAGATATTGTGAAAGTGAAGGTTGCAATTCCTTCTTAAACACACACACACATATATACACACATGCACATATTATATATGCACACATATGAATCTCCTCCTTTTCAGTTTTGTACACAACCTTGACAGGAATAAAGCTTGCCAATAGTAAGCAAAGTGTGATGCATCTATGTGTGTGTATATATGTGTGTGTGTGTGTGACTGTGCATATTTGTGTGTAATGAATCCTGTTCTCTACAGTTTTGTACACAACGTTGACAGGAATACAACTTCCCCGTAGTAAGCAAGGTATGGCAAGAGAAATTGCAGAAGTGAAGTTCGCAATCTCATCTTCTCTCTCTCTCTCTCTCTCTATATATATATATATATAAATTATATACACAGAGGGACATCATATATGCACACATATGAATCTCCTCTTCAGTTTTCTACACAACTTTGACAAGGATAAAGCTTCCAGTAGTAAGCAAGGTATGGCAAAATGGCAAGAGAAAGTGCAAAGGTGAAGTTTGCAATCCTTTCTTCAATATATATATTATACACACAAACACAGACATTATATATGCACACATATGAATCTCCGCTTCAGTTTTGTACACAACTCTGACAGGAATAAAGCTTCCCAATAGTAAGCAAAGCGTGATGCATGCATGTATGTGTGTGTGTGTGTGTGCGCGTGTGTGTGTGTGTGTGTGTGTGTGTGTGTGTGTGTGTGTGTGTGTATATATATATATATGGGAGAGACTGTGCATATTTGTGTGTAAATGCATCCGTTCTCTATAGTTTTGTACACAACATTGACAGGAACACAACTTCCCAGTAGTAAGCAAAGTGATGCATTTGTATGTGTGTGTGATTCTCTCTGTATGTGTGTATGTGTAAATGAATCTCCTTTTCTTCAGTTTTGTACACAACTTTGACAGGAATAACACTTCCAGTAGTAAGCAAAGTGATTCATTTCTGTGTGTGTGTGTATGTGTGTGTGTGATTCTCTCTATATGTGTGTATGTATTCAGTTTTGTACACAACCTTGACAGGAATAAAGCTTCCAGTAGTAAGCAAAGTGTGGCAAAATGGCAAAAGAAAGTGCAAAAGTGAAGTTTGCAATCCTCTATTCTCTCTCTCCCTCTCTATCTATCTATCTATATATAAATTATACACACAAACACAGAGACATTATTTATGTACACATATGAATCTCCGCTTCAGTTTTGTACACAACATTGACAGGAATAAAGCTTCCCAATAGTAAGCAAAGCATGAGGCATGTATGTGTGTATATGTGTGTATATGTGTGTGTGTGTGTGTGTGAGACTGTGCATATTTGTGAGTATGCGAATCCCGTTCTCTACAGTTTTGTACACAACGTTGACAGGAATACAACTTTCTAGTAGTAAGCAAAGTTATGCATTTGTGTGTGTGTGTGTGTGATTCTCTCTATATGTGTGTATGTGTAAATGAATCCCCTTTTCTTCAGTTTTGTACACAACTTTGACAGAAATAACACTTCCAGTAGTAAGCAAGGTGTGGCAAAATGGCAAGAGAAATTGTGAAAGTGAAGTTTGCAATCCTTTCTTCAACACACACACACATTACATATATACACACAACTATRWGAATGCCTACTTGCTGGGGCTGTGCCTATTTGGGGGGACACCCATCCCCTGAGGGCCAGSAGTTTCCCTCCCTCCCTCCTTCCTCAGTTTGTCACACTTTGGGAAACACACGCGGAAGTGGGCAAGAGTTCGGCCAAATTGTCGTCCAACCAGCCGGCCCTCGACGGGCACGAAAGGAGCCGAGAGACCCGTCCTTCCCCCCTCCCCCGGGCCTCGCTTTCTCCTTTCTCTTCCCCCCCCCCCTCCGCCCTCCTCACGGGAAGAGATCCCCGAGTGGCGGGATCCCATCCCAACATGGCCGCGGGTTCCCCAAGGAGGAGCGCGAGGCAAAGTTTCTCCTTCCTTCCCTCACTCCCTCTTCCCTCCCCAAAAAAGCGGCGCCGAGAGGTTGCTTACGGAGAAGCCGAAGGGCGCCCTCCTGCCCGGCTCCCCTTCCTCTCCTCTCGCTCCGTCGGCTGCTGCTACTGCTGGAAGTCCTGCTGCCCCGCCCGGCGAGGGAGAGGGAGAGAGAGAGAGAGGAGGAGGAGGAGGAGGCGCCATCATCCCGCCCCAGGGAGAAGGAGGAGGAGGGGCCGCCGCCATCTTGGGAGGGAGGGAGGTAGGCCGCCCCCACGGTTTTCCCCTTCTTTGGGCGCCTCTACACCAGGCCTGATCAAACTTGGGCCCTCCCTCCAACTGTTTTGGACTCCTAACTCCCACCATTCCTATTTATTTATTTATTTGCCTCATTTATTTATTTATTTTCGACATTTATACGCCGCCCTTCTCACCCCAAGGGGACTCACAGCAGCTTACAAGTTATATGTACCTACAATCTTCTATATACAATCACGCACATCAATTCACTCTCAACAAGAGATTCCCCCCAGGCGCTTCCAGGCCAGGGTGCTCATGATCCCACCAGCGTCGCAAGCGTGCTTGGTGGGGACGCAGGACAGGGCCTTTTCCGTGGT